GTGCAGTGGAAAAGAAATGTACCCGTTTTTCTCCACCACATCGATTTACTGATGAAGACAATTGAGTGGAAACTCTGAAAATTCACAAAGTCGAATACAAATGACAAGAGTTATTGTAGCTATAGTGGATGCAGACGAAGATGTTTTGACATAATGATAAACATTTTTACAGTGTGTCATTTGAAAGAAAAAGCAACGGTAACGCTTTACTTGAAGGGGTGTGCATAAGACTGGCATGACACTTTCATAATCATGACACATGTCATGAATATGAAGGAGGTTTTATGCATGTTTATGATAACTGTCATTATGTGTCATTCGCTCAGTTATATCATTTTTAATGTGAATATGACATTATTTGACCTAACCCTACCCCTACCCTTACCCCTAACCATAGCCCATAACAAAGACATCTCAAACAATGTTATCTTTGCATTAAAAATGACATAACTGAGCGAATGACACTTAATGACAGTTGTCATAAACATGCATAAAAAAACCTTCATATTCATGACATGTGTCATGACATGATTATATAGGTGTCATGTCATGATTATGTAGGTGTCATGTCATGGTTATGAAGGTGTCATGTCAGGCTTATGCACACTTCTTCAAGTAAAGTAACCAAAACTACTTCAACTAGATGAAGACATGCTTTTGTATATCATGTACATTAAAATGTGTACTAAATGCGACCATTTGTAACACTAGGTCTGAGGAAAGACTTTGGACATAACTGAGGACAAGGTTGTACTTGAAAATGTGAAATATTGAGGGTCCACCTTCTCAACATCATTAGTTAACCAAAAGCGCCATCTCGTGGATGGAATTACTAATAAAGCGTCAGATGGTGTTTTATGATCAAATATGCATAAAATATTTAGAAATCGTACTGGATGGCGTGACATTCATTTAATTTATGTCAGTGTAGCGCACTATGGAAAGCACATACACATTTCTTAAGCTTGTTTTACAAATGCTTCCCTGTTCTTTCTCTTTACTTGAGGTGCTTCATAGTGTAGAACATTTTATTTAGGAAACGGGTTTTGCTCAGAGTGAATAATGTGACTGGTGAGCTCTGTCTGTATCATTTGATCAACTTTAGTGATAAAGATTAAAATGACATTAAGTGAGTTCTAAGATCCAGTAGATGGCAGTGTCCTTATAGAAGTATTATGCTGACAGTTAATATATCTGCATTATATTGCTTTGCCTTCTAAACTGTTAGCACCTTTTGAGTAATGCAAGTAAATTATATATGAGCATACATACATATCTCAGTCTCAAATCTACTAAATGAATCAAGTGTATAATTTAAAAAGATAAAAGAAAGAAAGATGAAAGTATTACGAAGAGCCAAAATACAATGAGCATTAAAAACTCCATTATTGCAGCATGGTTTATTACAAATGCTTTTACTCACCCATTTGATCTAATAACCCACATTCTGAGAACATGTGGCTAAAGTAATGCTTGTATCCTTTTATTTTTTATGTATTCACACTGAGCAAGTATGTTTGCTCAGTTCACAACACTAGATTTGCAGCGAGCAAAAAGGCTGAGCCACTGGAGAAAAGCTCTTTCAAATATTAATTATTGAATCGCATATCACTCTATGAATAAAAGCACCTGAGACAACACTCATTTAGTTGAACAAGAACTGTTTTTATGAATTTAATTTTTATTAACGTAAGCACAAATATAAGTCTTAGAATCAGTGAAGTGCAAAATTATGTTGAATAATACTGGGATAATACTATTAAAATCACATCACATATACATTAGCATAAAACAGATTTTACAAATCAAAGGATGACAAAGTCTTTGTAAATAGTTAAATGGGAATGGCATACACTTTAGAAAACTCTCCATTTAATGCAATTCATTTTGAGCTGAGTGTCCTTTTGTTTCAGATACAATAATTAGATGAGTGATGTCTGCTGGAGGATGAATGGTGATGTTGTTTCAACATCAGGACTTTCCCCTGAGGCTGATTCTCAGTCTGCAATGACATTAGTCAAAGATGTTCTTGCTCACACTATATGGCCTCACATGAGTCTAGCATGTGGTGTGACTCCAAATGATGACATCACCAGCAGGAGGAAAATGAATGCCCCTTTGAGACACTGATAGTGCAGGGTTTATGAGTGTGTAGGCTCTGTGTTGTAAGAACAGAAGCGGTCATTTAGGGCTTTTTGAGGGTCTTAAAGCTTACTTCATTCCACCCTCAAAATGCCAGCGTCAGTGTTCATATATTTTGAATTAGTGCGTTAGAAATCACTGTTGGCAACTGCCAATAGTGGAAATCAGACCTTCGCGGACAATACTTCTTTGTTTGGACATAAATAGACACATGAAAGGTCGTTCTGAACAAACTTAAACCCCATGACCAGAATCATATGTAACATGGCACATTCAATTTTGTTCATCGGTTTGTTTTACGTAAAAAAAAAATAATAATAATAAAAAAACAACTCAACATTCCCATATGTGAATCAGAATACTGTATATTGTCTAATAAATCCTAAAATTGTCCTACATTTGTGAACATGTTTGGCCCGATGGATATTTAGTGTCTCTTAAACACATTTTTTTGCACTCTGACTACACAGTAAGGAAAAGACGCATTTATTAAAATTGTTTTTTTTTTTTGTAGGAGTATTACATGTATTTGAATTTTGCACCACTTGATTGTTTTTTTTTTTTATTTTTTTTAGGGTTAACAGAAATGTAAAACTGTAAAATTACTGGATATGTCCTGGTAGAAAATTACCAGTGTTTTTTTTTTTTTTTGTAGTGTAGTGTAGTTACAACAGTGGATATACATTTATCATTTTGTCATGTCCACCACAGAATTTGTTCATACACATAGGCCTACACATCTCAAATTAATTGTAGTATGTTATACAGCATTCCATTTGGAAATGACATTTTAATCATTTTTTTTATTAAAATAGTTTTCTTAGTTTCTTGTTTTCATTTGGCCAATTTCAAAGTTAGGATTTTATGTATCTTACATATCCAAAAGAAAAACAAATCCACACTTTTTGACACACACACACACACACAACACACAGGTTTGTTTTTATGGTTTATGGGGACTCTCCATAGGCGTAATGGTTTTCATACTGTACAAACCGTATTTTCTATTGCCCTACACCAACCCTACCCCTAAACCTACCCCTCACAGGAAACTTTCTGCATTTTTAGATTTTGAAAAAAAAATCATTCTGAATTATTTATAAGCCTTTTGAATTACGGCGACACTGA